TCATTTTATGGCAACTCTGCAATTAGAAACTTCAGTACAAAGCTCTTCACTAGCTTTTTCTCTTTCCTTAGACCCAGCGAGGAGCAACGTATTAACTGGAAATATAACCGAACCTTTACCCTCATTTCGCTTAATGAGATTGTTAAAACCTTCATTTATCAGCTTCTTATTCATATTATCCAGCCTATTAAGCATACCTTTCTCTTTCAGCTCATCTATACGTGTTCCAAGTATAAGATAATGAGGGTGCTTAGGCATGTCAGACTCAGAGACATAAGGAATCTCAATTGGATTCAACATAGCTTCAGAGCTAATTGTTGATTGGATTATATCAAGATTTGAATACTCGAGCTTTGTCTTAATAGGAAACATATTTTGGCTAATACGATATTGAAATTCGCAATTCTTATCAAGACCTTTGGTAAGATCAATGGTGATGATATTCAATGCAGCTGCTCTTGTAAAAAGAGGTAGCAACTCTCGATATGCTGGTTGACCACCGGAATCAATAAAATAAACCCAATTTGTGCTTAATTCTTGAAACTTTCTATCGGCAAGACTATCAGCAATTTCTTTAATTACTTTCATATCAGTATCTTGGTTTATCTTGGTTGATTCAGCATTCTCAGTAGGTTTATTTTTGGCTTCTTCATTCTCAGCTGGTGCTAGTTCATTCTCAGCCGGTGCCGGTTCATTCTTGGTTGATACTAGTTGATTCTCGGTTGATACTGGTTCATTCTTGGTTAATACTGGTTCATTCTTAGTTGGTGCTGGTTCATTTTTGATTGGTTTTGCCAGTGGCAGTTCATCTGAATGATTGGGTGCATCAATTTTAGGTTTTGGTGCTTTATCCACTTCTGTAGATATTTCTTCATCCTTCATTTTTTTTTTTAAATGAGATGCTAGCTCTTTAAGTAAATCTTCAATCTCAACCCTCTTCCATTTCTTACTTTTATCATCAATGGATATTCGTGTTGCTTGAACAGCACGACAAGCTATTGGTGTACTATCAGTGAGTTTGCCAGGAGGTGCAGGTGGTGGCTCATTAAGTAGGAGGCGTTGTGAACATGTTTTACCAGCTCCAGGTAGACCATGCATATTGATACGAGTGATTTCTAGCACAACTTTACCTTCTTTCAGCCAATTTTCTAATTCTAACATTTAATAATGAAATATAAATCACAACATTTAACTTAATATACTTAAGTTATTTTTATAATGTTTATTTCAGTTTGTCAAAAGTAAGTAAAACTAATACACAATATTTGCTTAAATAAACACCTACTCAAATAAATACCCACCATCACTAATATCTTCCAAATATAGAGACACCACTGCAAGTGCCCTAGTGATTGCCCCAAATAGCCTAACTTATTATGTATATAACTTAAAATGATGTCATATTCGAGTCCAATTGCTGGCATTTTTCATTTTATTTAATTATTGAGCAATACAGTACTAATAAATACTTATTTCTTACTTTCTATATCAATTTTATCCGTTGCAGTAGCAGTAGCTCCAGGTGCACCATGCATATTGATACGAGTGATTTCTAGCTCAACTTCCCCTTCTTCCAGCCATTTTTTTATCCCTAAAAATTAACATTGATAAAGTCACTATATCAATAGATGGTATATAAATAATGGCTTAAATTAGTATGTGGTTATTTATAATAGTGCATGTACAGTTGTTGTTGGGACATATGAGTGGATTCTGAATACTTTGTACTCTATCAGTAACTGGAGTTTCTTTATGTTCATCAGTAGGAATACTAGCACTGCTGCTGTCATTAAGCTGTACCATTGAAATGGATACTGTAAAAAGTAAAAAATTATGTAAATATGTGTAATAAGCAAAGGGAGAGACAGTATTATCAGTAGCGAGCTGTCTGTAGCTACTGAGGGAGTGACTATGATAACAATAGTAGTTATAATGTTACTATAGTCTAAAAGTTAGATGCTGCAATGGTTATGGTACATTTAAATTTAAAAAGGACAATACTAGCAAAGTTGAATTCAGCCTACATGTATGTATATTAAATTACAAAGATCTGTATTCTTGTTGTGGCTTGTGAGTGTGTATGAGCATGGATAGTGGTATGAGTAAGCCTGAGAGTGCATGGGAACAGTTTATACAATAAAAGATATTCTGATAATGGGTACTATGACTATGCCTTGATGAAAAACATGAAGTACAAAATAAATCTGCTAATGACACTAACCATGATTGTTATAGATATGTACAATGATAAGACAGATGTTTAACTTACATGTAGGTTCCAATTCATGCACTACATCAACAATTTGCTTCTGTCCAACATCTTTCAATGCTGAACACACTTCTTGTAGATATGCCTCAGGATTAGTGTGAGCATCAAGACTGTCCTGTAGTACATTAACAAGCTTGGCAGCTTTATTTGAATTGCTACCATGAGCCCCAGTTATTTCCTGATGTAGCTGGGTTGTTATGAGATTCTTAGCATAAAGACTTGTTGACACTACAAACAGGTCAGATGATATGGAGTCTTTAAGTCTAGCAGAGATGCTTCTGAATA